CATTTTGTCTATCTCATGTCCTTCCATTTTAAGAAAGGACATCATCATATTCATTCGCTTGTTGAATTCTAGACTTTAGTCGTTCCTCGAAGCGAGCAAAGCTTCTAAGTTCAATTCTTTGTTAAGCAACCGTCCCATTTCGCCGGCCACCAACCACACCAGTTCAGCCAATAGTACCAATTTAGTTGTAACTATTCCTCCCGATTTAACCCTATACGACTCTGAGAGATCTGTCTTCGCGAAAGGTCTCAATTTGTTCCCAGCCCAGGGTCCCTTGACATTTTTTCCGCTAAGACCGACACCGAATCATTTTGCAGACGCTTATTATAAGTAATAGCATGGCTTGAGGGAGATTAGTGATTAAATGGCCCCGTAACCCGAGGCAGGTTGGCGGAATTCCCGAGGGCGAAGCCCGAGGGAATTCCGCAAACCTGCCGAGGGTAAGGGGTCATTTAATCACTAATCTCCCGAAAAGCCATGCTATTAGTTTGTAATAGCATAGTTTCGCTCCCATTTAAAAATGGACAAACATGCCCTACTTGGAATCAGCGTATTTAAGCTAAAACATTTGCTTCATTGCTTGTGGGATGTAAAAGCTTGTTGCACATGCGCACTTTTTACGCTTTAATCGATTACGCATGCGCAATCTATCATTTAACGTACCACAACAAACACGCTAAATATATTAGTATAAATTTGGAGACTGCACGTGCGTAATTTAAATGATGCGGCAACTCAGGGATCGGATGATAGACTATTGACGGCTCTGAGCTAACTGTTGCTGTCCCTTGCACGATTATGTGCGTGAGGCACTTGCCTAATGCGTAGTCGTCAGGGAGACAAAGGTGTGACCCTTGGTAACGGGCGATTAGTTCTAATCGCCCGCTCTAGCGGGCGATTAGAACTAATCGCCCGCTACAGCGGGCGATACGTGATTAAACGTCCCTGTTGAAACAAAAGAAACCCGGGCAACTATGCTATTACGTCTGAAAGCACATTTCCATAACCAATCCTCCGTCCCTCACAAGGACGTTTTTGAGGCTATCAACCCCAAAAAATCTTCCTGGTCTCCCCCAGAAGACCAATATGGGTCCCTTGAACTATTCATTCGACAATGTCGACATGATAATATAGAACAACTCCCCAAATTTAGGCCCAAAAGGCCATCCAACCTCACTGACAATGAATTTTATCAAACCTGCTGATAAGGGTGGTGCCTTAGTTGTTTGGAGAGCTGACTTATACCGTAATGAAGCCCACCGACAATTGGGTGATGCCACTTTTTACAGGAGGGTTGACAAGGATTTGACTTCCATTCATCAAACTACCATCACCCAGACCATTCATAAATTTATCAACACTGGTGATCTCCCCGAGTCTGCCAAAAACCTCATACACATCACACCTCGCACACTTCTCATATACTTCTTGCCCAAAATTCACAAACCTGACAACCCAGGTAGACCTATTGTATCTGCTTGTGTGTTTTCTCGATCGTGTCATGGCACCTTTGGTTAAGGACTTACCATAGGTGCCACGTTAAATCCATTGTACTTTTTTAACCAAAGATGGATATTAAATGTTATTATTATTATTATATCAAGGATACCAAGCATGCACTTCAAATTCTCTAGAACATTCATTTTCATGGCACTCACAAATTCATTTTCACCATGGACGTCAAATCCTTATGCACTGTAATTCCGCATCATGATGGTTTGAGGGCCCTCAAATTCTTTCTAGATAAACGCCCTAACCAGGAACCGGCCACTTCTGTATTGGTCCGATTGGCTGAGTTGGTGCTTACCCTCTACAATTTTTCCTTTGATGGTGACCATTACCAACAGATAAATGGTGTAGCAATGGGAACTAAAATGGGACCACAGTATGCTAATTTGTTTGTTGGTTTTGTGGAAAAACAAATCTTCGAACAGTACACTGATCCCATCCCTGATTACTTTGGTAGGTACATAGATGACTGTCTTGGCACAGCATCATGTTCTCGTGTCGAATTGGAACGCTTTATTAACTTTGTTAATAATTTTCATCCAGCACTCCAGTTCACATGGGAGATCAGTGAGACCAGTGTATCATTCTTAGAAGTCTTAGATGTCCTTGTATCAATCAATGGTAACAAATTATTTACTTCTGTGTTCTACAAGCCCACTGACTCCCATAGCTATATTCTATTTTCCTCTTCCCACCCCAACCACACCAAAAGGTCGATTACCTTTTCTCAGTTCCTTCGTCTTCGCCGCATCTGCAGTGAAGACGAAGATTTCAGGCCGAAAGTCTGGAGATGAGACACTTTTTTGTCCAGCGTGGCTATCCTACCTCTCTATTAGACACTGCCATTTCGAAGGCCTCCCAAATTCCCCGTTCTGACACCCCCACAAACCCTGTGTCTAATGTCACAGGCAACAACAAAATCCCCCTAGTATTAAACTATCATCCTTTCAATTTCAAAGTTATAGAGATGTCATCAACAAGAATATCCATATTTTGAAAAACGACCCAGAAACATCTTCCATTTTCTCCGATAACCCATTAGTCTCTTTTCGACACAGCAAAAATATCCGTGAAACCCTCGTCCATAACTCCCTAACACAGGCTTCGACGTCACAGAAAGGCACTTTTCCTTGCCTGTCGTCGAAATGTAAAACCTGTGATTTTATAGATTCCATCACTATTGTTTCGGCACCTAAATCTGAATTTCACATCAAAAACCATTTCACGTGCGCCTCCTCCCATCTCATCTACTGCATCTCTTGCAGCAGATGTGGCATGCTTTACATTGGGGAAACTGGAAGATGTTTAAGGACAAGGTTTGGTGAACATCGGCGTGCACTTAATGGCAATGATACTAACCAACCTGTTGCCAGACATTTTAATGATGGCAATCACAGTGTTTCAGATATGTTAATTCGAGCCCTCTGTCCCATTTCTGGAAGCAACGATAGCCGCAAACGACATGAAATGCGCCTCATATCCAAACTTGGCACTGTTCACCCTTCTGGCATTAATGAACGCTTTTCTTATGTTTAATGCCATCAAAGACAATCCAGAAGACATGTCTTCTGGATTGTCTATGATGCCATCTGTCCTTGCCTGTCTATAGCAGACATTGACAACCTCTATTTATTACTTTTACTTTATTCCCACTCGCGTTTTGTTTTGATTATTTTTGTAGTAATTGTCTTAACTTCCTGTTTATTTTTATATTTTTAATTATATTATATTCTGTAATGCGATTTACATATGTTGTTTACACTTTGTTATGATTAAATCCATCTAATTGGTTTATTTTTTTTGTCGCGTGATGCTTTCATACTCTTAGTATAAAAGCCCGTGCATTTTCCCCGATCCCTGCTACTAACTCTTGACGAAGGGCCTTCGCTCGAAACGTCGAGTTTCTGCTTATCTTTTAAGGTAGTAATATAACCACTCAGCACAACTTTTTCACATTGGTACTACCAACACTGGTACAGACAGTTTTAGCATTCTTTTAATGCATTGAAGAAATGGCAATCTTTCGATATATCGAAGAAATGGCATTTTTTCGATATATCGAAGCATTGGAAAGTTTAGAGTTTTCGATATATCGAAGGTGGCATGTTGAATTCTTGATATATAATTTTCACTGACTGTGGCTGCCTCCAGACATGTTTTGAAACTATAACATTTTCCTCTTTTTTTCCGTTTTATTCACATGCCTTTTACTCACTTTGCTAAAAACAATAAATTTTGCCCAAATGTTTTAGCAGTTTTTTGCTCAGAGATTTAGTATCATTTTAGTCATATCTTGCAACTTGGAAAAGCTAAAATTGTTGCAAAATGTGCATGTTTTTGCTGAATATATTTTCAGTCATATTTAACATGCATTTGATGTGATTTTCCTATTAAAACATGAAATCTGTCTTTGTCCACATTTGCAATTATTCTTATGTTTTTAACCAATTTTTATCATGTTTGAAAAGGAATTCTTGTTTTCATGCAGTATTATTGCATTTATGTATAATTTCTCCACAGTCATGGCTGTATTCATCGCATTTTTTAGTGTTTTCTTTCATTTTCCTCTCAAATTCTGTTAAATAGAATATTGGACCCTATAGTAGAACGTGTTGTTCTATATTTAATCAATCAATTAAAAATGATAGTCCACTTCTGTATTTAATACAAGGTAAAATTTCCATATACGGTATGCTAGAATATTAAAATATACTACTATGAAACTATCTTACTAACTGTTCTTTTAGTTTCTTCTTAAATTTATCAAGGTTTGTGATCTGCTTCAGTTCACTGTCCAAATCATTCTATATTTTCACTGCCCTATAATAGAATGTTCCCTGTCCTGAAGATGTCTTGAAAGATGGTATGTATAGACTGTCATGATTTTGAGTTGGTCCGTTATGAATGTCTGAGCGTTTAACGAACTTATTTGTAAGATAACAGGGTGCCAGATTATTGAAACACTTGTATGCCATTATTGTATCTCTATACAAGAGTAGTAATTCTATAGGAAGCCAGTTAAGTTCTTGAACTGGGTGTAATACGATCAAACTTTCTAACTTTTGTGATGATCCTGGCTGCGAAATTTTGAACTGTTTGTAATTTTTGATGTTCTCAGCCGACGTATTTGACCAAATCGTGGAACCGTATGTCAATTTGTTAATCACCAACATCTCGACAATTGATTGCAAAGTTTTAACATCAAAGCTGTCCTTCACTCGGTTTATTTGGCACAATTTTCTTATACATGATGAAGTTAAATTAGAAATGTGCTCATTAGCCTATATGATAAAATTGAGTCAAATGTAGTTCCCAGATCTTTTGCCGATGTTACAGGGTTCATAGTCTGTTTCAAGAAATTTAAAGATATATTTGTAGTCTCGAACCAATAAGGAGGAATTTAGTTTTGTCTGGGTTAATCAGCAATTGATGTTCAAGACACCATTTGGCTACACTGCAAAGATAATTTTCCAACTTGACAATTGTTTGTTTTAGCCTACGTCTTTCATACTGAACGTCAGAAAAAGTTTTGAGTCGTCGACATAGGAGTCGATATTGCTTGATAGTGGGATCGCTGGAATGTCATTTGTATAAATACAGAACAATAATGGTGATAGTATGGTGCCCTGTGGCACGCCATGAGGCAGTGGAAGGACGGATGATACTGTGGATCCAATACGTACATATTGTCTTCTACCCGACAAACAGCTCTCAAACCATCCGACAGCTTGCGAAGAAGCGCCGACACATTTCAATTTATGAAGGAGAATTGGATGGCTTACGCTGTCAAAGGCTTTTGACATGTCTAATAAAACTACTGCTGTTACGTTCTTTTTATCGATTGCTTCCAACATTGTGTCACTTACGAGAATGTTTAGAGTCTCAGTGGAGTGGGCTTTCCTGTTTCCGGTTTGATGAGGTGATAAACGATGGTTGATTGTTAAATATGAGCTGAATTGATCTAGAGCGACTCTCTCACAAGCTTTTGACATTATTTCTAAGAGTGAGATTGGTCGGTTATTCGAGGCAACTTCGTTAATATTATCATCTTTATGTATAAAGAAATAACTATATAATGTGAAAAAATTAAATAATATTATTAATATTAATTTGTATAGGTAATCTTGCGATGGCGAGTGCAATTAGGGATTAATAATACGAGTGATGTTTGGAAATTTTGCCAAAATTGAACGAGTCGCCTGGGCGATTCCAATTTGGCAAATTTCCAAACATCACGAGTACTATTAATCCCTAATTGTACGAACAACATCGCATGATTACTTGTTTATTATTAGCCTAGCATGACAAAATTGGATACGGACTTCTCAATGTCAACATATTCTCTCGCCAAAGCTCAGTCCAGTCAGTGCTTTTGTTTGTATTTTCATTTAGTTCTTTTGTTAAAGCAAAATTTGGTGCTTTTGTTCGTATTTTCATCTAGTTCCTCCACTGCAATTTCATTTCACATATGTGTTTAAAATACCTTTCCGCCATTTCGTTTGTTTTGGGAAAATCATTAATTGTACTGCAGTACAATTGTACTGAAATAATTGTACTCCTCTCAATCAATCAGCGTCCAGTAATTTTGTCATGCTAATAATAAAATTTGTTAAAGGTAGGGTAGAATCCGTATATATGTAAATTAACAAAGCCTTTGTTTACAGTTCGGTATCAAAATATTGAATTTATTCGACAACTATTTATATTTTCATGCTAATTCTATACTCACTATAGTATAATTTATTATCAAGATAGCCTACAACCATCAGGCTTTGCAAGAACATAAAATGAACTAAAAACCTAATTAAAGTGTTTATATTTACTGTACCCTATCTTTAAATTATATGTATAACTAATCTGATAGCTCGTTATAGTATACAGTTGATTTTTTCTATGTACCTTTATTTGCCTTTACGATTTAGGGCTCGCAGTAGGCTATTTAACGCACGCTGTTGCGATTGTCCTGCCAGTTTTTGCGTTAACGTTGTTTGAATAACTCGGGCAAATTCCATTGGACTTTTAAAGACATCACGTACAAAGACTTGATGGTATTCCTCCTAAAAAAACGTCTAGAAAACGAAATGGAAATTCAACAGGCTGTCGTGCATTATACATAAACGAGACTTAGCAATTCAATTTTTACATATTTTGGAAACGTTGCAGAGTTTGGTTGCGAAATGTTGTAAAATGAGGAAATTATAGCCCTACGAAATTTGTCAATTTTATATTATTTGAATTACGCGGGAGAAAATGCCCCACATATTTGGGTCGAAAGTGGTGCACTTTCCCGTACGTAATATGTTAAATTTCTTCATTTTACAACATTTCGCGGCCAAACTTTGCAACTTTACTAATTTTAACATGCTCTTTCTAGCTGTGGTGATTGGATTTTGTTCCTCTTGCCTAGATCAAAATTTAGTCTATAACTGGCATCATCTATTTGCCAGCCCAATAATTGACCAGCCAGTCCAGTCCGCGTTTTACAACATGCCTGATTGGCGTTCACAAAGACTATATACTGTATATATTAGATTGATAGATTTGAAAATGTTACTGAAATTGTTCACACACGTGTAGCTATGCACGCACGTGTAGCTATGTATTCATTATAAAAATACAAGCTAGCGATTCTTGGAAACAGAGCATGCTCAACAGAAATCAAACAGCAGGCTCTCCTCTCGGACTAACAATGATATGAGCGCGAAAAGTGAGTAAACACTACTCATATTAGCCAATTAGAAAGCTGATACGATAATTCACCACATGTGCGAAAAAGTGGCGGAATTGTATTGGACTATGCGGCCTGAACAATGCGTGTACAACAGATCGGAAAAATGGAATTCGAAATCTCATTCGAAAATCCAATACTTAATTCGAATTCCATTTTTCGAATGCGTGAGTAATAATTGGAAAACAAAAATGGAAAGGGGAACAAAACGGAAAACGAAAGAAGAAGTACGGAAGCCGTGAAGGGACTTCAGACTTCAGACTTCAAACATTGGTTCCGAGCTTCGCTAATAGCCAACATTTTTTCTGCGAAGCTGGCTAATATTTAAGGCACTTATTCAGTCAAAGCTATTCAAACTAAAGTTAAAAATGGTCAGAATGATTTAGATTGTAAATGCAGACTGTTGGAATGTGTCAGTGAGTTCTGACAGTTCTTTGCAGGTTTAAAGGCAGAACGATAAAACATATAATACTATTGTTTGTAGAAACACCACATAAATTTATTACTGCAGTAAATTTATTAACTTTATTCTGTAAATTTATCAAGTTAAGTATAACATGCACGCGCTCAAAACTAAATGTGTATAATATACCACTTGAGGTTATGACTCAATTTTTATTTTTCGAAACGTTTCTCAATCGGCAACAAACTTAAAAAGTATGTGAAGTCTGAAGTCTGAAGTCTGACTGTCAAACATTGGTTCCGAGCTTCGCTAGTAGCCAACATTGCTTTTGCGTTCCTCCTCTTAGAATCAGTTTGTTTTGGCTTTATTCTTTAATTTATACAGTTAGCTACCTTTTTAAATGCATCTGCCGGTTAAGAAACATAAAATCATAGTTAAAAATTGTCAATTAAAATACAATTATCAATGATGCTTTAAAACTGACGCCATATTTAAGCCGAGCAATATAAGCAAAACTTACTGAACTTCAGACGTAATTTTCTCCTTGGCGTAGCCTAAAATCTCTTCAATTTAGCATTATTTTACAGATAAAACACTAAACATACTTTTTAAGTTTGTTTGCCGATTGAGAAGCGTTCTGTCAAAAAATAAAAATTTTGAATTTAGTCATAACCTCAAGTGGTATATTATACGCATTACTCATTAGTTTTGAGCGCATGTTATACTTAACTTGATAAATTTACAGAATAAAGTTAATAAATTTACTGCAGTAATAAATTTATGTGGTGTTTCTACAAACAATAGTATTATATGTTTTATTGTTCTGGCTTTTAAACCTGCAAAGAACTGTCAGAACTCACTGACACATTCCAACAGTCTGCATTTACAATCTAAATCATTATGACCAGTTTTAACTTTTAGTTTGAACAGCTTTGACTGCATAAGTGCCTTAAATATTAGCCAGCTTCGCAGAAGCAATGTTGGCTATTAGCGAAGCTCGGAACCAATGTTTGAAGTCTGAAGTCTGAAGTCTGAAGTTTGAAGTCTGAAGTCTGAAGTTTGAAGTCTGAAGTCCCTTCACGGCTTCCGTAAAGAAGTCTTCAAATTTAGTGGAAATTGAAAACAAAAAATGAAAATGAAATTCTATTTCCGATTTCGTAGAAAAACGGTTATATATACGCGCATTCTGAGCATCACCAGATGCACAATTCAGCAGATAACCCACGTCACCTGCAAAGTCGTTTCCGACTTCCGAGAACTTCCGAATGCATTCCTATGCAAAAGTGCAATTATAAACAAAATTAAAACGAGTCAACAGACTCGTCAAACCATGAGCCAAAACGTTACTGTATTTGTATCATAAAGAGTTTACAATTATATCAAAAGTACTCTACAACACAAGGTCACTTCACTTGAACTTATGCGACAATGGATTCATTTAAGATAAGCTTTGTCTTTGGTGGTGAGTATACTGAGTGTACACATACAGTTTATACTTCGTATAACATATACTGTTCCGCGTAATTTATAATATTGAAAAATGACGAATACCTGTATTCCTTCCAACAGTGTTTTGGCCCGATCTATTAACGTAACTAGATTTATCTAGTTAGCAATGTTAAAGAACGAGTTCGAATTTCACTGACATTATAAATACAAAATCAAAAGACAGTTAATTAATATAAAGCAGGCGAAGCTATCATTGCTAAATGTATCTGTTGTACGGCTGTGATTATTAATCAGCACACAAATGCAAACACTGTCACACAGTACGTGATATCAGCAGTATTCAATATTCATATCATTTTTGCCATCAGTCTTAAATTACAAGAAGGCAGCCGTTATTAATGTTCCATTCAAACGATATATTTTTGCTGGTAAGGCTGTTCACATGGCCAATTTTAGTTTGCGATTTTCTCCTTTTGCTGGCGCATGCGCTTGAGTAACCTTGCAGTACGTACATGAGCTCAGAAGTACATGAGCTCATGAGTACAAGAAGGCAGTCGTTATTAATGTTCAAACGCTATGTTCTTGCCGGTAAGCAAAATAGCCAATTTTAGTTTGCAATTTTCACCTTTTGCTGGCGCAAAGCTACTGAGTAATCAGTACATGAGTTCTGAATGCAAACGAGAATATAACGTGCCTCAGCAATCTCGCATGTATTTGTTTGTTGGTGCACAGAACATGCCATGTGGATGAACATATAAACTATGCTTCGCAAATGAGTTCCAATCATTTTTTAATTAATTTCTTTCTGCAGATAGGGCTGTTTATGATCAACCCTTTGACATTCCTTCATTCAGTGTTCCATCAAGAAAAAGTGAAGACTGGAATTGGAAAGGTAAGCGAGCTAAGAGACCTACAAATCAAAACACTTGGGCACATCATGCATAAACTTAGAAGTTAAATAAAACAAGAAAACCTAATACACGAGCGATTTAGAGCGAATGAATTCTGATCAGTGTTATATTGCAACTACTGTAGATACCATGCTTACAATTTTCGTCACAAATATTATGCTGAACAGGCTACACGTCTCGGTATTTCATAATTTAAATAAGGTTAATTAACCTGAGCGTCTTGAATACATGCAACAAACTTTTTTTGAGTGTAATAAACAGCGTAACTGATTGGGGACACCCGATATAATTACAATATATTTATGTAAAGTCTTGTAAAAGGCATCTTGGCTATCCAATTAGTATTAACATGTGCTGACATACATTGGTTTACGACGAAAATGTTTTGCGTATTTCCGCGAAGAACCGGAAATACCAATCTAACAGGAAGTTGATAGTCTGGTTGCATGTGGACTAAAATAAAATAAATTTACCATGTCTGTACAGGCTTCTGTAAACCGAGAAGAAGTTAGTAAAGCTATGTATGTAAATCCGACATTGTATTTGCCAAGGATTTTTATCTGGTTTAGTGCTTTAGCGTTCTTCCAACGAAAAGTGCTACTCTATTTCTGGAAAAGGGTGTTTTTTCAGGGATGAACCGACGCGCCACTTTGCTGGAAAAGTATCTTTTTGGCAAACGCCGGCCTGTCAAGATTGCACGTTAAAAATAAGTCAGTGTGGATTTTCACTTTTGTTTAATTTTATAAACGTGAAAGCGTTTTTCCGGACTGTCAAATATAACTGTATAACCAATTTTTTTCGTATAATATCAGGCCTTCTGTACGCTTGTATTATAAACAGCTTTCGAGTTTTTATTCTCAAATTAAAGTTAAATTCAGAGCTATAGTATAAGTGTGATTAACTATGGGCGTTTATTCTCCTGGTATCAAAAGAATGATACGGTGCTGATTTCATTTGTGTTTTACTTATGAATTCACTTATGTACTTGTGCCACATCGTCACATCAGATAGCGAGTTAAAGACGATAAGGCACTGATGATCAAGTACATTTCGAGTCTCAATCAGATTTTGGAAATCACGGAAAATTCTTTGGTGATTGTTATAAACTGACTAATCATAGTTCTAAGAAAATAAGTAGGCTTTCTTGAAATAATTTAATGAAGTTGAATAGAATTAAGCAACAAATGACTGCACTTCATCCTATCTCAATCCAGAAACATGTCATGGGGAAACATGTTATGTTTGGTAACATTAATAATAGCTATTAAAATTACTATTACCGTGCAACGAGAAATTGCAGAAATTTGTCGCTTGTATTTAGTTATAGCAAAGTTCGGATTTAGATTCTCAGCATTTTATAACAGGCAACTCAATTGAATGTTATACTTTCGACCTCAATGGGTGGATAGTCTGTCAATTAGATATGATTTTAATTATATTAATTTTTAAGTTTACAGATTTTGCCAGTGAACACAATACACTATATATAAAATTAATTACAAAATAGGCTACATGGCTGGAATTACCACACAGAGTTTATTAGTTCGATCTCCAATAACGGAATTCCATAACATTCGAAATACAAGTATAAAAAATAACAGACTAAATTTAGCAACATGATCGATTGGACAAGTTACTCAATGGGCGAGTTGTGTGACACTTCACACAAACAGACTTAAATGTTCTCGGGTCTTCGGGATTGTAAATTTCCTTAGTGAGATTTTTATAATGTTTCATTAAACAAAATTTAAAAAAGACCACGGTTTTGTTGTCTTCTTCTTTTGTTCTTCTGCTTTTCTTCACGTTTTTGTTGGCTTCTTCTTCACTGTTTTGTTGGTTTTCTTTTCTTCTTCTTTTGTTTCTTCTCTTCTTCTTTTCTTTTGTTTCTTCTCTTTTCTTTGTTTTTTTGGCTTCTTCTTCACGGTTTTGTTGGCTTTACGTTTCTTCTTTTTCTTCTTTTGTTTCTTGTCTTCTTCTTTTATTTTGTTTCTTCTCTTTTCTTTGTTTTGTTGACTTCTTCTTTTCTTCCCTTCCATGATGGTCTGGAAGGCCGGCGAACTTCAAAGCTACAAAATAGAAGGCCTTTGCTTCATTTTGATCCGTCGATCACCGTGATCGTGCACAAATTAACATCAAGTAACTCAGAAAAAGATAACACAATGGCCTCTGCTAAGGTACCAGACTATCACATCTTGATAGAGTATATGATCAACCTCGTACCCACAGCATTTTGCTTCCGGTGAGCGAAAATGGCCCTGGCATCGGTCGGTCACATGACCTCAAAATCTCCAGTATTTGGGGTGCTCAATTGTGATAATTTATGCGTATAGGTACGTACATAGAATAATTATATACATTGTAATTACTGACAGGAGTAAACTCAATGCTGCGTATATAATCAAAGAGAAAGCAACAAAATAACTTGACTTTATTCGGTTTTCGGTGTTTACCCCCAGGGGGGGGGGGGGAGGGCAAGCCCCCAACAAAAAAATGATTAGTCACTGAGAGCGACTAAAGGCTACACAAGCGTCTTGTCGTTATCGGAAAATGTATGGCTTATAAGTTGTCATTAATAATTAGTGAATACGCGTATACATAAAACTGTCTTTTACAGTTTCAATATTCGTTTGTAAATCTCTGAATGGTAAAACTTGCCAATACTCCAATAATACGTTTCAAAAAAGACAAAAAATTAAAGCTTTAGTGTTGAACTCATTTGGTTTATTTCGGTATATTTTATTATATATTATAAGTTTTATAAAGGTTTTTACATAACATAATTCGAGACACACACACGGGGCATCAGTGTTCTCCGATCCCATGATGCTCTTCTCATAGGATATGACGTAATATGAATAACATGAAAACATTGCGCAACACCCCCACTTGGTTTCATGAACTAAAGTTATTTACATTTTTTTTTAACTTTGCTTAACTACTAAATCTTCACACGTGTTAATTACATGCATGCCCACCCCCACTATCAACCTAGCCAAAAAAACCCAACAAACGTTAATTACATGGATTGTAACCCAAATAGGATGGGTCTAAACCTGTCCAGTTTAACTTTGGTAGCTGGTTTAGTAAGTATGTCTGCCACCATATGTTCTGTTTGACAGTAAACAATGTCTATTTTACCACTTATTAATACTTCTCGTAAGAAATGATACTTAATGTTTGATAATATGAAATGATAATATGTTTGCATCTTTGTCTACTTACCGGATTTTTACTTAAGGCTATTGCCCCTTGATTATCCTCATATATTCGCGTGCATGTATATATTTTGCTATCCATACTGTTAAGTAACTGCATCAAATATAAACTTTCCTGAGTAGTGGCTGCTAAACTTACATACTCTGCTTCACAAGTTGAAAGCGCAATTGTGGGTTGCTTCTTAGACTTCCACAATATGGGAGGACCATTCTCCGTTAAACTAAAACAGTACCCTGTTGTACTGTGTCGATCATCCAACGAAGATGCTCAGTCAGCGTCTGTATAAGCAATAAGATTAAGCTCACCATCACACTTTCTACAACACAACTCATGCTCCATGCTGCCCTTTAAATATCTCAGTACATGCTTTGCAGTCACTAAATATTCCAACATGGGACATGACAATTTTTGAGATAGCTTGCTAACCACCCAACTAATATCTGGTCTGGTACATGTCATCAAGTAAATCAGACTACCTACAATCTCTCTATATCTCCTTGGGTCTACCTGTTCACTATCACTCATGCCCTCAAATCTCTGCTCGCATGGGGTTGTTCTAGGCTTACAATCAGACATACCAAATCTATCCAGTATTTTCTGAATATATCTTTTCTGATTCATTTTAATAACTCCATTTCCTTGTTTAAAGCTAATACCCAAGAAATAGGAAATTTCTCCCAAGTCCTTCATCCTGAATTTAGATTTCATGTTTTCCTTGAATTGACTGATCTTATCTGTGTTATTTGAAGCTATAATCAGATCATCAACCCATATAACTACAATTATGATATCTTCACCTGTTTGTTTTTGATAAACACAATGGTCAACTGGATTTCTAACAAATCCATCGCTTATCAAGTACTCGTCTAACACCCTGTTCAAGTTCCTACCCGACTGCTTAAGACCATAAAGAGATTTCTTCAACCTGTAGACTAATTTGACACCGTTCTCTGACAACTCTTCAAAGCCCATAGGCTGCTCCATGAATATTTCATGGTTAATAGGGGCATGAAGGAAAGCTGTTTTGACATCCATCTGATGAACAGTAAGATTATATTGAGCAGCAGTTGCATAAGGATTCTGATTGATGTAATGTTGGCAGTTGGGGAAAAAGTTTCCTTATAGTCAATACCATGCACTTGACTGTACCCTTTTGCAACATATCTTGCTTTCAATGTTTCCAAACCATTTGCCTCCTCCTTGATGGTATAGATCCATCTTCCCCCCACTAAATTCTTACCCTCTGGTAAGGTGGTTAATTCAAACGTGTCATTCTCCTTGAGTGCTTCCATCTCACCTTTCATGGCCTTCTCCCAACCTGAAGCTTCAGGGGACTCCATAGCTTTAGTGTACGTTTGTGGCACACCGCAAACTTTATAACAATAATCAACATTTACATTGGCTGAATTATTGACTCCTAAATATTGTGGGGCTTTTCTCTCCCTCTGAGGATAAACCTTAGCCTCATGATCATCTTCAACCTCTTTACTATCTTCAACACCTAACTGTGGCCCTTCGCCTAAATCTAAGTTTTCAACAATTTCTTCAGGTTCGGGAAAATCTTTTTCCTGTCCCTGAACATCATTTGGGGAAATTTCATTTTCCTCCTTTCTACAAAGGCCTAGATCATCAATTTCAGTCTGTGTGCATTGTTCTGCACTGGTATTCTTAATAAACTTTACTAATCTGTGTTTCATGACTTTACCACACTGTGGGTGATAAACAAGGTGGGCTGGGCTGTTCTTATCATAACCGACAAATACTCCTTTCATACACCTAGGGTCTAGTTTCTTATGATCATAGTTATAAATGTAACACTCTGAGCCAAACACCCACATCTTTGACAGGTCTGGTTTTCTTCCTGCCATGCTAAAATAGGGTGTACTCTTAGTCCTGTTGTTGTAACACCTATTTCTAATATGAGCGGCAGTTTGGACGGCATATG